CCCCAACCAAGATCAGAGCGGGAGGGAGGAGGGGGAATGCGGGGTGCTCAGAGGATGGGGCAGAGTTGGGGCAGGGACTTTGGGGAAGGGGTTGGAATGGGGGTGGAGAAGGGGTGCGGTTGGGGTGGGGCTGGGGAAGGGGCGGACTTGGGGCGGGGGCGGGACCGGGGCCCCGTGGAGTGTCCTCGTTTTTAAATGTTTGAATATGGTAACCCTTAGCAGCAGCCACGCTGCACCGCCGGAGATGGCAATCGACTGGGAGAGCCTCTAGGATCGACCACCACTGGGCTAGAGGGTCCAACATTCACAGAAGCAGAGGGTACTGACCCCTATATCCCTGAGGGTGTCTCCACTTGGCATATGAGGCTTGGGCTTAAGAGGCTGTTTAATTGTGGTGTAGATGTTCGGGCTGGAGCCTGAGCTCTAGGACCCTCCTGGCTTGCAGGGCCCCAGCCAGAGCCTGAACGTCTACACTGCAATTAAACAGCCCCTTAGCCTGCTGAATGACCATGTAGACATGCCCTAAGTGCTGGATAACGAAGGGTTCTCCTCCCTTATAGTCTGGTAGCCCTTTGAAATGTGTCGTTTGAAGTGTATCCCTAGATAACATTAGTCTCCCCTGCTGGTGGGCAGATGCCATGCTGCCTTCCTCAGTCTCTTGTGAATTAGCTCTTTCGATTGGTTTGATCACGGTGTTTACTGTAGATGTACTTTCCTTGTCTCTGGCTTATGAACTTAACCCTGGCAGACGGGTACATCCACATTCCCTTGTCTAGGACAAACGTGTTTATTTGCTCTACTCAGATTGCTTGGTCTGACCCTGTGTTAGGATAATGTTTCCAGCACATGTACATACCTCTTTACACACAAGTGCAGGGGCTGCAGCACCCCCCCCCTCTGGCTTGAAATGGTTTCCATCATATCCAGGGTTTACACTTTGGTTCAGTGGCCAGCATGTCACCACTTCTCATATGATACCTTACGAGGCACAGCTTGGCTAAATATTCTGACAACACTGTGTTGGGTGCACCCTTTGCCAGTTGGCTGTTAGGGTCACAGGTTCCTGTTTGACTCTTCACTGTTTACAATGCACTCAGCCACTGGAAAATAAAATCTCCTTCCTTGTTGTGTTTTGCCTCCTCCTTTTCCATGGGGGGGTGGAGGTGGCCACTGGGGGTTCTATGCTTGGGGAACTGTTGTAGGTGTGACAGCGCCTCATGTGGATGAGACCGGCAGTCCGTTGGGGCCATGGGTGCACCCCAGACCGCATGCTCTTGAACGAGGGCATAAAGGGTGGAACGGCCCCAACCCTCCCTCTGTTCTCTCTTATCGCCCATGGCAGTGAGATAGAACTTGGTGAGTGTCCGATCTGCTAGTACTTCCACATAGCCATCAACCGGCCCCTCCAGAAAGTGCCTCAGATTCACAGTGAGGCCCAACCCTTACCGGAGCAGGGTTCTGGCCTTCAGACACTGCATGGCATGGAAAGTATTCACCAAATGCCTGGTTGTGCGTTTAAGGAGGTAGAAAATCCCCATCTTGCTGACTTGCCGGTCAGAGGCAAGTCCCAGGAGACCACAGCCTATGTCCTCTCCCTCTTCTAAGCAGGACTCAGCATGAGCTATGATCCACTCCCGATTGGCAGGAACATACCTCCCAGGGCCAGGTTCTAGCCTCTCCAATCGCAAACTCCTGAAAATTAAATCCAACAATGGTATGTACGAGTCTGGGACTTAGGCCGCATGCTGGTGTGTACATATGTGATACCGCTTGCCAGACTTCACATGTGGCTCTTACTGTGTGTTTCCCATGCTCATGTCACACAAACAAGAGCGTCATAGGCCCACCTCAAACCCTGTGAAAGCTCATGTAGTGGCTAGACCCAGAGACTGTACAAAAAGGGAGGCTGTTCTCTTATCCCCCATTCTGTGCTGACCCTTGTCACAGACACCGCAGGGACTGGTTGAGATGCCCATCTAAACCATGCTGAATTAACATTTTAACTCTCAAGGTCCATCTTCTAGCAATATTGGCATGTCACGCACTCATACAATTGAATTCTAGCTTTATAGAATCCTAGAATATCAGGATAGGAAGGGACCTCAGGAGGTCATCTAGTCCAACCCCCTGCTCAAAGTAGGACCAATCCCCAGAAGATTTTTGCCCCAAATCGCCCCCTCAAGGATTGAACTCACAAACCTGGGTTTAGCAGGCCCATGCTCAAACCACCGAGCTCCCCCCCTCAACTGAGCAATTACCCTGCCTGCCAGTCTTGAAGCAGCATTCAACGCTAGGAGAAAAGAAGCTATGTACTTTGAACATGGCCAGAGTTTTCTCTGTTTCCTTAACTTCACCACGCCCTTCTTCAGGCTGTCTCCCTGCCTCTTTGTGGCCATTTCTGGCCAAGCCATCTCATCACAGAGCCTCTCTAAGTCGATCTCATGGGGCATTTCCCCTGCTATCAGATAGCTGCCAAGCCTCCCCCTCTGAGTGACAAGGTGCGCTCCAGCAGCAGCATCTCTTGCCTGCATCAGGTAGGTGCGAGTCTCTGCTAGCTGCACTGTGGAGCACTTCACTGCCTGTTGTTCAACGTTATGCTGTAGACGTGGTAGCCAGGTCAGATGCCAAGGGCAGGAGAGCAGCACAGTCCGGGAGAGCAGTACTTCGATCCCTGTTTGACTGACAGCTGAAACGCCTCCCGCCCACATCCTGGATCCCAATAGGACCATCCAGCGAGGATGCTACTTTCCAGTCGCCTCGGTCAGAAGCCACACGGACACATACAGCAACAGGGAACTGCTACTCGCCCCACAGCAACTGTGGTTCTCTGGGATGTTGTAGTCCATAGGGATCCCCCAACCCGGCCTCCATTTGGAGATCTTGGCAACATGGGCTTTGAATTGTGAGGGAACTGAGGGAGGTCTGGCCGCCCTGCCCGTTATGCCCTCTTGTGGGAGTATGAGGAGGCACAGGGGCATGTGTGGCCTGGATGGACACCGCTATCACCTCAGTGGTGGATTAGCCACTGGGACAACAGGACAATTGGGGGGCCCCAGCAATTGGGGGGTCCTGGAAAAATGGACATGCCCCGACCTGCTCCACCCACCTACCTGGCGCTCCTGTTGGGGAGCAGGGTCGGGGTGCTGGGGCTGTCCCGCTCTGCCCGCTCAGTGCTCCTGTCAGGGATTGGGGAAGCCCCCGACCCCACTCCCCAGCAGGACTGGGGACAGGGAGGACTGCAGGCAGAAGGGGTGGGGAGGGGCCCTCTGGCCCAAGGGGACACAAAAGACCCAATCACAGTTCCAGGGTTAACTGCACCCCTGATCCTTTCATAGCTTCCTTGCTCAGATCTCAGGCCTGTAGCCATCACCTTTTTCTGGGTGGGAAATCACACGCCTCTCCCTCGACACCAGGGCTTTAGGCTGTAATTTTCTCTTGCGACTCACTGTAATCAACTTAGTGAGGCTTAGCACTTGCTGTCCTGTCTCTACCTGGTGCTATGACCGGGTGATCCGTTGTCTAGCCAGGCTTCATAAAGGAAAGGATTTATTCAGAACAAAAACATGAAGAGAAAACAGCTAATAAAACACTAAACAGCCTCTACGCCTGCCTGTGTTAGCATGTCATCCATCTTCGGCAGGGGTCCGTCCCTCAACCTTCCAGCAGGATCTGACCCCTTGGCTTATGTGTGTCAGTGTTTGGACCAAGTGAGAATGGCACCTCCCCCCACAAACCCTGCTATCATAGGTTGCCCACTTTATACAATTCTCCAAACTTAATCTGCTGGGCCTCTTGAACCCTGTCCAAACCAGCATATACAATTCCCTGCCCCCGCTGGCTTGGTGATCCATCTAGCCATCTGCAGTAAGTCCTCTCTAGTGCTGTTACTTCCTGCTGGTTCATCCATCCCACCCACCCCCTGCAAATCACTGCATTGCTTTGTCTCCTTTCAAGAAAAAAGTTAACCCTTTCTGACCCAGCAGGTAACACACGACAAAAAAGGGAAACTGAGTCACGCCTCTTCATTCATGAAAATGAATGAGACGTTTCTCAGTTCAGCACAACAGCTATTGAGAAACACTCCTGGCTGATGTGCATCGGGCTCATGCGCCACCCCCCCGCCCCCCAGTGGGATCCGCAATGCCCACACCATCTCAAAGAGCCACCGTTGCTGTAGGGTAAAGGACCATTCTTTTCCAGCCACTACCAGATGGGGTTATACTGGGACAGCTGAAAAAATTCCACCCCTTCCTTCCCTCATGCTGCCCTCTGGATGCACGTGGCCTCAGGGCAGCAGGATGGGGTAGGTAAGTTGCATGGGGGGGGGGGAAGAGTGAGGAAGCCCCCATTTCTAACCATCCTCCCTGCTCTCGCCCATTCACTGAGCCTATTGCTTAAGCTCCTCGCAGTAGGTCTCCTGCTTCGCT